GGTCATTCCTTGCTTATTGATTGCGTGGATGCTGGATGTGAAAATATATTATGTCTGCCTGTGCTTTGCTCGTCAGAGACTAAGGTAAGCCGGACTCAAATAGGCTATCACTTTGTGAATGGCGGAGTATATGTCCCAATGATTTATGACCATATGACTCCAATCTCGGTTCAAGAAGAGTTCACAAGCTTTAAGCTTCCTTCCACGCAGAGACTCTTTTGCAGCCCTCATCCAGGGCCCTTTTTTTCCCCCCTGCTTTACAACTGGGGAGTTCTGGTTGGGGTGAAGCTCGGTTGTGGGGGGAGGGAAGAGGGAAATTTTAGGAATGCGTCTCTGTTTTCCAGGCATATCCACCGCAAGGCAGTCGCTGGGATTTGAGCTCTTTCTGAGCGGTCGACCTATTGTTAAGGGCACGTTTAGAATATTTATTATTAATAATAATTTAAATTAAAAGCGGGGCTATGCCTGTTTTCGCTGGCTCTGGGAAATATACCTTAGGAGGGGGCGGGGGGAGGGGAAAGGCGCTGCTCTTCTTCATAAACACAGTCAGGTTGTGAATTTAGGATTTCCAACATGGAGGGGATGGCTTTACAGGAGAATACCTCTGCCTTAGATTTTTTGTCTCTTTTTCCCCCGACCGCCTGATTTTTTTCCCGAGTATCCTCCTCCCCGCAGCCCTTTCCCTCTCGCGCCTTCCCCCGATTTTTATTTTTATTTTTTTTTTTAATGTCTCTAAATCCTCGCACTCAGAAGTTGCAGGCAAAGAGTTTGTGGTTAAATGTTACCGCTCGCAAAGTGAAACTTGGAGCGCGATGAAACAGCCAGCGCGGATCCTGCCCGGGTTTAATTGGAACAGGAGATAATCGAATATTTATCATTCTGCCTGAGATTTTTTTTTTTTTTAAACAATCCCTTGGAGTAAATAATTAGGATTGCGGCCGTCCTCGGCGAAGATAAATGAGCGGCATTTGTGAGGCGCTGAGAGATGAGGTACAAAGCAAATCTTCTGTGGAAGCCACAAGCGAGCGAGCTTTTGGGCGAAGGGGATTGTAAATTTATTTTATGGACATTTAAAAAAAAAAAATCGTCGCTGTTATTTTTAGCTGCTTTAGCCGAGCCTCTCCGCTCGGTTCTGGTTTGGGTTTGTTTTGTTTTGTTTTGTTTTTTTAAGAAACCTATGCCAGACAGGAAGGCCTTGGAGAAATTCCCACCTCTGCCCTCGTAGATATTTTCAGCAAACCTATTCATAATAAAGGCGCTGCTGTTTGTTAATTAATTCACAGCTTCTCGGCTCGGGTAGCAGAGTCTACTTTTTAATAAGACATATTTATCATGACGAGGAAACCAAATGAGAGTAACTCCCAGCAAGGGTATCATCCTCTCTGTAGACAATAATACATCTCCGTGGAAGATGCAGTACAGATTTGGGAATGCATAAAGGATTTAATCAGTGTAAAAAAGCGAAGCAGTCCCTTCGTGGACACGTTGTCTGAGCCTGTGTTGGAAGTATACAGAGGTTTCATATGACATGACATAAGAACGCAGCAGTCAGGGAAGGGAAAAAAAGATGTTATTTATTGTCCAGCTATGGCTTCTGTTAAACCCCGGTACTTAGAAATATCGCATTAGACTTTATCTCCACAAAGTTTATTTTATTTTATTTTAGAGAATGAAAGAGCCCAGATAAAATTAAATATACAATAGATACAATTAAATATACAATGGATACAAATTTCAAAACAAAATGCACAGTGGCTCCTCGCAAACTCTGAGCTGCAGAGAGAAGTCACTGCCTTTTTAAAATACGTTTGCTGCTTGGTTGATCCTCACACATCAGATTATTTTCAGGTCGAGATAGTTTTCATATTTCTAAGGGTATTTCTGCTCTGTCTTTATAGTAGAGAAAGTGTATGTTTTGAGAAAAGAAAGAGAAAGAAAGAGATAAAGAAAAAGAAAAAGGCCAGAGAGGGAAATAAAAGAGGAAGATTTCATTTTGTAATTTGAGGTTTTGAACTGAGGTTTTAGACTTTTTGAGCTTGGATTGAGGGAGGGAGGAAGGATGAAAAATCAAAGGGGTAGAAAGTTAAGAGCAAATGGCCTGGTGATGCATTTGTTTTCCAAGAAAAAAAAAACCAACAGCAATTAAACTGCTTTTGGAATCACATCTTGCCAATGGTAGTTCCAGATTCAAGACTGATGAGTACAAAGCAGCGCAGGCAATGAAGGGTATGTTTTCTAAATACAACCTGTGCTACCAGAGTGAGAGGGAGAGACTAACAAACAGGCCAAAAGAAGCACATTCTTGAATTCATGCCCCTGCTTAAATCTGCTTAAAATATTTGCACTGAATTCCAAAGACATTGTGAGTCTCTGTGTAAACAGCAAATCAAGCCAACTGTGTCAGGACACCGTTACCTGGATAAAACATATTGACTATTTGCTGTTTTCAGGTTAAAAACAAATGGACTGGACAGAGGCCCTACAAGAAACTTAGCAGACGTTTAATTTCTGATGCTATAACGTCTTGCTGGTTTTTATGTGTGCGAATGGCTGATTTGAATAGGTCAGGGGTAAGAAAGCAAGACTTTCCCTCCTTTCGTGCTTGTAGCTAGCAATTATCCATTCCGTATTCTTATATTTACATTAATGTGTGCGCTATCTGGACACGGATGTGTATACGTGCACACGACACACATCTACATGCATATACACACACATTTTATATGGGAGTACAAGTGTGTGCGTGGGGGTGTGTATATATGTGTATAGATAAATATGGAAGTAAATAGATGTATACAGATGAAACCACGTGTACTTAAAGAGCATGTGTGTAGTTATACATCCTGGGTGCCCTCCTCTAAGGGGAAAAAAGGTGCAAACAACGAACCAACCAGGAAAACTACCCCCCAAAATCAGCTCAACACACTTGCACCGTAACATTTGTTGAGCCTCCTTAGGCTGCACACAGGACAAAATCTGCTCAAAGCATCTGTTCGCCCTGTTCTGTGGGACCCTATTCATGTCATGGGCCTTTCAGGCCCCAAGATGGATTCATAGGCCGGGTACTATTATTGTGTGTTTTCTCCTAACCTTTCAGGTCAGCTTCCAATAGACAGCTGGAAACGGCCTGTCACGTGGCCTTGGGGTGCCAATGTTCTGCCATAGGGGTGTCAAGACCCTGGTAGCCGGAAAAATCATTTTGGGGAGTCCCAGAGATGCAGAAGACAACGTACTACGACAGCTCCACGCTCTTTGGGGGTTACTCCTACGGGAGTGCCAATGGGTTCGGCGATGAGGGTCCCCAGCAGCCCTTCCAGCCGGCCTCTCACGTGGAGAACGACTACCAGAGGTCCGCCTGCTCCCTCCAGTCTCTTGGCAACACAACCCCGCACGCAAAAAGTAAAGACCTGAACGGGAGCTGCATGCGTCCAAGTTTGCCCCAGGAGCACCATCCGCCTCCCCCCGTCTCGCCGCCCCCAAACCCTGCCACCAACAGCACCAGTAGCAACAGCAATAACCAGTCGGGGAGCAGTAAAACTGCCCCCAGCAAAGCCAACCTCAGTGCAAGCGCCAGTCTCACCAAGCAGATTTTCCCCTGGATGAAAGAATCGAGGCAAAACTCCAAACAGAAAAACAGCTCCCCTAGCACAGGTACACTGTTCTGCTTTTTGTAACCCTCCGCTTTCCTAAACAGCGAGGTAACGAAGCCACTGGCTGGAGAGGTTTTGTTTTGAGAGGAGTGGTCTTGTTTGGAGGGAGGGGAGAGGGGGAGAGGACACAGTGAGGATGCAGCGAGGATCCAGCAAGGATCCAGTGAGGATCCAGCGAGGATCCTGGTGCTGGGCATGATCCCAAGACTGCCAGCCGCATGCCCTGGCCAGGCTGAACGAGTCTTGGCCCATCCTGCAGCGCTGACTGCGCACACTTGGTTTATTTTAAACATATCCGGAGCACCACAGGGAAATACAACCAGGCGGTTGTACACAGCCGATGTCTGACTGTGTAGATACAGATAGATGAAAATGTACGCCCACTGCTCAACCTAGCGATGCTAAAGCGGAGTGCTTGTTCTCTTCCCACCTCCCTGCCTCCGGACACAGCAGTAAACCTGGTGCTCTTTGAGTGTATGTGTGCACATAGAGAGCAGATGCATAAACAAATGGATATTCTTGCATGCATACGCGCACATCTCTAACGCGATCAAGAAAAAAATCAGTATGGAAATATCACTGTTCTGACAAATATATTCATATAAACTTTGCGGCACACACTTCACTCCACGTTAACATAATTTGTTATATACATGTTTATCTCATAAAAAGGTAGGTACAAATGCAATTCGGTGTTTAACCACGTACATGCAAATATTTGTGTTACACAAATACAAGACACACAAGCTATGCGTGTGTGCGTGCATTCGTACCTCGGCAAACCAAGTACCTCCCAACACTGACCCGTGTTAGTATTAATTGGCTTTGCAGTGACTGCCCCCCTGCCAAATATTATTTTCTCAAAATTATCTGTTGGAAATAATCGACTCCTAAATAAATGGCCCTGGAATCCTTTTCTACATGACATGATCAAATTTTCATAAACCAGGGGCAGCTTTGGAGAACAGAACTCTTAATAAATGACATGATTATGGAGTGCAGGCTAATGCGAAGGGGTGAGGAAAGGGGGGGTCGAACTCTTGTGCCTGTTCCAGGATTTATTAAGAAACGATGCATTCAATTTCTGCATGTAAGTAATTATCTTTTATTTCATTTCGCGGCCAGCAGAAACCTGCAGCGGCGAGAAAAGCCCTCCAGGCTCCTCAGCCTCCAAGAGAGCCCGCACAGCCTACACCAGCGCTCAGCTGGTGGAGCTGGAGAAGGAATTCCACTTCAACCGCTACCTGTGCAGGCCCCGCCGCGTGGAGATGGCCAACCTG